TCCCTAGCTCAAGCGTGTGCTGATGCTGTAGTTTCATACAACTGATCCAAGATTCCCATGAATCCTATGGGGACCTGGGTCCCTTCCTGAGAACATTCTTAATTTAGACTTGCACTTCACCGGGAGTGCAGAAGGGCCAGCACCATACACAGGAAAGTACAGAGGCCTAGCAACATCTTTTACATCTTACATCTTTCTCTTCATAGTTAGGACTGGTCCAGCTAGCACCTTCCCTCTAGGGTTATCTCTAATTTATTCTATATTGTCTTCAGAAACTAACTCCCCCTTTGATTAGTGGAATTTTGCCTCTACAACGGCAGCCTCTCATGCTCAGTAAAAGGTCCACTGGCCGGTTTCCAAGTACTATTGGAAATTCTTATCCTACCAGGGGTTTTTAAATAGCCTACCTGGTTCAGGTTATTTATAGAAAACAGACCAAGTATTTTCTGTCTTCTCATATAGCTTAGTGAGTACTTCATGTCTCCCCTAGGTATTTAAAACATTTTGCAGAATGCTTTCAATAGCCTTAATGCACTCCTTTAATTGGTGGGCGTTTGATGAAGCTCTGGGTGATATTTCTTGCACACCGGGGGTCTAAGGTTACAACATTCACAATACCACATCAGCTTCCAGAGCTCATAATGAACACTGTAACAAACAGGTATCAGGACCAAAGCAGGTAATCAGTCATACACACAAAGCTAAGCCTAGGAGGCAAGGTCAGTCTTGTCGCTTCTGAGTGATCACATTCCTGACTGTTCATATGTACATACAGTCAGACAAAACCTAAAGGGACTTTCAACTCACCTTACTTCAAAGTCCTGCAGTATGAGAAGCCCCAATGACCCATGAGGGGCAGCTAGGTGGCGCCATAGTGCACAGAGTGCCATGCCTGGAGTTAGGAAGACTCATCTTCCTGAGTTCAAATCCAGCCTCAGACATTTACTAGCTATGTGACCCTGGATAAGTCACTTCACCCTGTTTACCTCAGTTTCCTCATCTGCAAAATGAGCTGGAGAAGGAAATGGCCAACCACTCCAGTATCTCTGCAAGAAAACCTCAAATGGGATCACAAAGAGTCAGACATAACCAAAACAACTGAACAACAATGAACAAATGATGTCTCTTCCTATTGTAATAGTCACCCAGACCTAATGGAGGGAGCGACATTGCTGAAGACCCAGAGTTTTGTAGTCTCTCATCCTGGAACGAAATGGAACTATCTTCTGCTGTGGTTTGGACTTGGGGAGGGTTAAGCCAGCCTGAAGAGTCTTTTAAGTTATTAGCTGCCTCCAATCTCTCCCTTTTTGCAGGCTAGTTTAAAAATTTACCAAGCTGGTATAACCCCACCCAGTCCAAACCATACCATAGGATAGTTCCATCTACTCCTGGGCTAGGACAAGACTACAAAGTTCAGGGTTGTTTTCTTGTTTTGTTTTGTTTAGCAATTTAACCATCTCGACAAGGGAGCCAGTGTAAGACTGGTCTGGGTGAATATTATGTTGCCTTTGATCCCATGGTAAAACCAGCTCCTCTCTTCACGTCCCCAAGAAGAGGTGTCCTTCTATTTAGCTACAACGTTATTTTGCCTTTTGGTTTCATTTATCTCAAGATTGTCTAGATGAATATGATTCAGTTCCTCTGGCAGTATGTCACTCCTTGGTCCTTTGCCAAGGATTTCACATGTAGATTACCAGCAACTATCTTTGCATATAAGTCTGCAGCTTTGATGGCTCTAGTCTATCATTCAAAAATTTGCACCATTCAAAATTCTCTCTCTCCCTCCCTCTCCCCACTCTCCTCTCTCTCTTTCTGTTTCTCTCTGTCTCTGTCTGTTTGCTCCTCTCTGCTTCCCTCCCTCCCTCCATCTACTTTCCTTCCTCCCCCTATCTGTTTCTTTGTCTCTGTCTGTCTGTTCCTCCCTCCCTCTCTCTCTCTCTCTCATTTTGTTTCCCTCTCTCCCTCCTTCCCTGGAGGGCTTTTCTTGAAGTATGTCGGCAAGCAAATCAAATTCCTTATGGCAGGTACTGAGCATCACACTCAGCATTCTCCCAGCCAATCCAGAGTCATGTCTCCCTTCTGCTATGCAGCATATAGCACAAGGCTGTTTTCCAGGGCATCTTCCAAGAGGGTTTTAGATACACAGTAACAACAGCATTATAAAGACAAACAGCTTTGAAAGGATTAAGGGCTCTGATAAATGAAATAAGTAGTGGTGATTCCAGAGTACCAATGGGGACAAGTTCTACCTGCCTCCAGGCAGGACTTAAGAGCAGAATGAGTCATATCTGGGGGCATGGCTGATGCAGACATTTGTTTTGATTGATTATGAAATTTCATTACAAAGGGTTTTTTTTATTTTTTTTTCAATTGGGAGGAAAGAAGAGGGAGAGGAGTATTAAGGATAGTTTTCCCCCCACCTTACCAAAAAAAGAGAAAAAAACATAAAAGGAACTAGAAGAGATTATATATAAGTAGGATAACTTTTAAAGTTATATTTAGGATTTATTATATACTTGACAAGCATTTTTTAAGGCAATTGGGGTTAAGTGACTTGCCCAGGGTAACACAGCTAGTAAGTGTCAAGTGTTTGCTCTGAGGTCAAATTTGAACTCAGGTCCTCCTGACTTCAGGGCCAGTGTACTACCCACTGCGCCAGCTAGCTGCCCTTAATTGTATACTTGAAAAGCAAGCTCCACATAATAGAGATTTCCCGTTGCATTACAATCCTCTCCTGTTCTATAGCGCACATGGAAATACTCCTTTTATTTGATGCTTGTCAAACTCAGGATAAAGAAAAATCACATGAAAAAAATTTTTTGAAGTTTAACACTCTCGGCGGTGAGGGGCTCACTCACTATATCACGTGGCAGCCCTTTTCATTGTCAAGGATAACTCAGATTGTTAGGAATTTTTTCCTTCTATTGAGCCTAAATCTATACCCAGGTAACTCAATGTTAGTAATAATTCTAGCTAGCATTTACATACTGCCTATTGCATGCTGGGAACTGTGCTAAACTTTAGAAATGTTATCTCATTTGATCCTCACAACAATCCAGGGAGGGAAGAACTATTGTGATACCCATTTTACAGTTGGGGAAACTGAGGCAAACAGAAGTTAAGTGACTTAGAGTCACACATCTAATAACTGTCTCAGCTCTTCCTGCCTCCAGGCCCAGCACTCTATCCACTACATTATCTAGCTGCCTCTAACTTCCATGCATTGCTCTTAATTCTACCTTTTTGAGCCCCACAGAGTAAATCTAATCTCCCTTCCACCTAGCATCTCAGAACTGAAGGGGAGCTCAGAGGCATCTGGTCCAAACCATACTCAAACAGGAATGATCTTGATAGCATCTGACAAGGGGCCGTTGAGCTTCTGATGAAAAATTGTTCTCAGGCTGAAGGTCAATAGCTTCAAATGCCTAGCACAAAAAGGCAAATTTCCATACGACTATTCAATTATAACAAATATATCACAATTTAATCTTAGACTATTAAGAGTCCAAAGACACCTTAGAGATGGTCTAGTCTGGTCCTCTGCATTGTAAGAATGGGAAAGTTGAGACCCAGATAGGTTAAAAGCCCCCCAGTCAGTCAAAATTACTCCCTTCAATTTTACATTCTGAAAAATGCTACCAAAGAATCAGAGAGAAAAGTGAGAATATATTTTTAAACTCTGTTCCTATAGTCCTTAGCAGCTTTATTCAATGGGAACTGAGGTGCTCAGAGAATGCCTTAAATCACAGAATTGTTTCTTTTAACTGCTTTTGTAAAGACACAACCTTCAATTACCCCACTTTATTCATAAGGGCACAGATTGTGTAGCCCTGGAAGGGACCTTGGAGAGGTCATCTCGTCCAACCCCCTCATTTAGCAAATGAGTGAACTGAACCCCCGAGAGGTTAAGCGATTTGTTCCAGGTCACACAGGTAGCGAGTAACAGGAGGAGGCTTTGTACCCAGGTTGTCTGACTCCAAAGTCACTGTTCCTTCCAACACTCCCAGGAGAGGCGCGAAAGGGAGACTAGCACAGTCTGACAAAGGCAATACCCAGAATGGTCTTTTTAATTATAAAGAAGTTCCGCCTACATAGTTCTGGGCTTACTGAATTTGTCAGGCTAGGGAAATGTAATGCACCTCCCCACATTTTTCGGCTCATCGAGCATTTCTGCTTTGTGTCTGGTTTCAGTAGATGGGTTCTCCCACTGCTTTCATTAGCTGTTACATTTTGAATTGGGATCTTGACTGCTTTTGTATCTCTTTTCCCTTTCAGGTCAAATTAACCTACTCATTTAGAATTACTACTAATAGTAAATTCATACTTAACCACTTTATGCTTTACAAAGCACTTTCCCCTCAACAACCCTATTAGATAGGTGTTACAAGAATTATCCTTCTTTTACAAATGAGGAAGACCTCAGTTCAAAACCAACCTCAGACACTTATTATCTGTGTGACCCTGGGCAAATCACTTAATCTTCCTGGGCCTCAGTTTTCTCATCTGTAAAATGGAGATAATATCACTTTCTTCCCAGAGCTGTTGTGAAGGTCAAATGAGATAATATATGTAAAGGGTTTTGCAAATCTTAAAGCACCATCCAAATGTTAATTATTACCCTCATCCTCATTACCATTACTAGTCCAGTGAGCCCCCAGTGGGGAATTAGGGTCTTTGCTACTCTGCAGCTACTCTGCAATTTACAGCCTCAGAGAGGGTTGTAGAGGCACCAGAGGTTGAGTGATTCAGGGGCTCAGAGCCAGTTTATACAAGAAGCAACACTTGAATCCAGGTCTTCCCACCTCCCAGGTCTTCCTTTTGTCCGGGAGCCAAGACAGACCCAGTGGGAACGAGTGTAGAAGGACTTGGTCCTCAGAGCTGGGCTGAGGCCCGGGCTTGTCAATGTGTAACTGGCTGAGGATCTCCTGGTTGCTGCTGGCTTCCTCAGGGTGTTCCCTCCTGGGTCAGATCACATGGACCAGAGGAGACAGAGGAGTCCAAAGTCTGGGAAGGCTCACGGAAGCAGAAAACGACCTCGGGCACCTGGGACTGCGTGCAATGGAAGGCTGGCATCTCCCTATCCTTATGCTCTGTCTCCTGTTCTGCGGTAGGTTGGTTGGGTTGGGACTCAGAAAACACGAAATTAGGAGCCAGGAGGCCCAAGTCTGGGCAGAATTTCCTAAATGCAGGAGATGGGGTGTTAAGAGGACTGTGCAGGGCTACGGAGGCTGGAGCCAGACAGCTGCAAATAATTTGATGAGGATGGTGGATGAGCTGTGTAGAAGAAGGCTATAGACCACCCAGACCAGAGACATGCTAGGTTTTTGATGAAGGTGATAACTAATGATAACTCCTATTCCTATAGCATTTTAAGGTATGTAAAGTATTTTTCTCTTCATCCATGTGATATACTGGCAAGACCACTAGACTTAGAGTCAGGAAACGTGGGTTCAAATTCTAGATCTGTAATTGCATGACCTTGGGCAAGTTCCTTCGTCACTCTGAGATTCATTTTCCTCATCTGTACAATAGTGGGGAGAAGGAAAAATGGGAAAGAGGTTTAGACCAGGGGTGGGGAACCTGAGGCCTCGAGGCCACATGTGGCCCTCTAGGTCCTCAAGTACAGTCCTTTGACTGAATCCAAACTTCACAGACCAGAACTAAACCCCTGGTTTAGACCATTCAATTCAACATACATTTATTAAGCACAGTCCTTGTCCTCCAGTAGCAAGGGAGACATAAGATGGACATGGATAAGCGAATACAAAGTACATGCAAAGTAATTTCAAGAAAGGAAGAGAGTAGGTCTAACATCACACATCACATACCAAGATAGGCTACATAGACATAAAGGGTGACATTATCAACAAATCAGAGGAGCAAGGAGGAAAATACCTGTTAGATCTAATGACAAGAGAAGATATCATGACCAAACAGGAGATAGAAGGGATCATGGAAGGTAAAATAGACAAGTGGTCACACAAAATAAGAAGTTTTTGCACAAACAAAACCGATGCAGCTAACATTAGAAAAGAAGCAGGTAAATGGGGGGGAAATCTTTTCAGCAAGTTTCTCTAATAAAGGTCTCATTTTTATAATATACAAGGAACTCAGATTTATGAGAATAAGAACCATTCTTTGATTAATGATAATCAAAAACTATGAATGGAAGTTTTCAGAGAAAGAAAACCAAGCTATCAATACCATACTAAAACACACACACACACACACACACACACACACACACACACACACATTCTAAATCACCAATAATTAGAGAAATGACAATTACAACCACATTGTAAAGACAAACAATTAAAAGACTCAAATCATGATGAAACACATTACCCAGCTCTTGACAGAAAGGTGATAGACTCATTGAGACCCGTTTTTGGACATGGTCAATGCAGGAATTTGTTTTGCTTGACTATAGGTGTTAGTAACAGAGGGGTTGCTTTTCTTGGGGGAGGAAGTGGAAGGGAGAGAAGGTGAATTTTCATTAATTGTAAAAAGCTAATTTTTAAAACAAAAAATCAACTTGGGAAGGATAAGAGAATTGCCACGAAGCGCTGAGGACTCAGTTATGGTTAAGTAACATAACTTTTCTAGTGAACCCGGTTGCATGACTTTTTCCAAGAGCATTCAGTAAGTAGTCCATGAATAGGAATGGAGAGAGCAGATGGTGAGGGTAATGCAAGGTTGGAGTTTGCCAAGAGTGGGGGTTAGTAAGACTGGGGTGGGGGAGGGATTCAAGGAGAGCTTAGAGTGGACAGTAGAACTAGTTAAACAAGATAAAGAATAGATTTAGGAAGAGTTAGAGGGAGAGTCTTAAAGATAAGAAATTTTGGTCAGAGAGAGGAAATTTGGATTTCTGGTCAACGGAGATGGAATAGTACAGATAGGTTCTCTATCTGTACTGTGGCTGTGTTGAGATGGAGGACATGGAATTTTAGGAGGCTGATGCACTGAAAATCCAGGATGTTCAAGGGCGTGTGAATTGGTATATTGAAGTGCCTAACTATGAAAACAAGGCTTAAGGTGGCAGGTGATGAGCTCCTTGAGAAAGAAAGGGGAGTAGACTGGAGGTCAGCAAATGACCGGGGCAAGAAATTGGACCAGGCGACAAATGTGAATTGAGTGAAACTCAAATGAATGAATGAATGAATGAATGTAAAAGCATTTATTAAGTGCTTACTATGTGTCAGGCATTGTACTAAGCTCTGGGGATACAAATATAAAAATGAAATACAGTCCCTGCCCTCAAGGAGCTTGCATTCTAATAGGGGAAGAAAACATAAGGAAGGGAAGGGTGCCCACAGAAGTATAGTCAGAGGAAGAGAAGTCCGAGAGAACATAGATTGGAGCCATAATGCAATTGATTGACACTTCCTTTCCAGAAATGGCTGTTAATATGATTACTATTCTCAGAGGTAGAGTTGAAAAGGGAAGGAGGAGGGAGGAGGAATGTATACCAACAGCTTGACATGAAGATGGTGTGGTAGGTCTGGGAACTATTCAAGAGCCCAGAGTTCCAGGAAAGGGAGCTTTGAGCTCTTCAAAGGAAGAGAAATTGCCAAATAATAATGACAAAAGAACAGTCTGGAAGTGGGACTGAGGAACAAGAAATATGACTAACTTCTCTCCTAAGCCTAGTACTTTTGGGGCATGTAGGAAGGAGCACCCAGTACTGGAGATGATGGTCAAAGGTGCAACATCTTATGGGTTTCATTAGTGCAAAGAGAAGGATAATGCGAAGTGAAGAGACCGAAAGGTAAACGTTAACAGGAGGACAAAGCAGAATGTGAGCTGTGGAAGATTGGAATCAATGGGGCTGGAGATAGTAATGAGAGGACGTGCAGAAATAAAAGGAAGAGAGGATTTTCACCTCAGCAAGTATTAACTCTGAATCACAAGAATGAGAAGAGGAGGCAGAAGCAGAGACTATGACCACCATCACATGGGGGAATGACCAGTTGATGGAGGCTCTAACCTTCCATATGTCTATGATATCTGGGTATTGAGTCTCAGAGGTCCAGGTTCTGAGATTCCAAGAGCAGAGGAAGACAAAGATGAAAGGAAAGACAGAGCCACCAGGGCTGGACTGAAATCCTATTCAAGGAGCTACTCTGCATTTGTTCCAAGCACTCAGGTTCCCATATCTGAGTCCCAGGACATGTAACCTATCCCTCTCACCATCTCATGCCTTTAGTATACTAAAGTTTAGATTTGTGAAGGCTTCCACGGATGGATGAGGTAAACCTTATTGGAAGAGGAGTTGCTATGGCAGAAGTATACCTTTAACACAGGTTCACTGTTGCCCAAGGGACCCAGTGGCTGAGGTGTGAAATGACTTAAATGTCCCTTCATGAATCATCTTCTGGCCTCTTCTATAGATTTTCATAGTTAGAGAAAACTCCAAAGGTCCAACTTATACATGACCAGGAATCTCCTCTACAACATTCTTGACAAGCGGCTAGCCAGCCTCAGCTTGATGGTTTCAATTTTGAAAAACTACTTCACCAAGACATCTCATTATACTTTTGGACAACTCTAATGATAAGAAAATTTTTTAAGGTAACTCTTGTTACAGCTAAGTAGTGCAGTGGATACAGTGCTGAGTCTAGAGGCAGGAGGACCTGAGTTCAAATCCAGCCTTAGATACTTCCTAGTTGTAGAACCCTGGACAAGTTACTTGACTTGTCTGCTTCAGTTTCCTCAAGTGTAAAATGAGATTGTAGTTGTAAGAATCAAATGAGATAATATTTGTAAGGTGCTTAGCACAGTGCCTGACACATAGTAGGTGCTTAATAAATGCTTCTTCCCCTTCTCTCTTCTGTCTCCTTCCTGACAGAATGAGCCTGAGTACACTTTGAAGATCTATTCTACCTTGTTGCCCCTATCCTGATAATACAGGAACTTCAACATGTGATACCTCCCCAGGTTGTGATCACCAACTCACTTTACAAGGATCTAAGTTCACAAGGCTTTAAGGAAAACAAACAGTGCTTGGGTCAGAGCCCTTAGAAAATGATGATACCTGCTTCAATCATTTATATAGAAGTGTCAAAATCATACCCTGCAGCTCCATGCCACCTATAACTCCCAAGTGGAGCCAGCCAGATTAAAATATAATTAGGAAATGTTCAGCAAAATAACAAAGATACAATGCAACATAGATAATATTAATTTGTGGTTTTCTAAATCAATATGCAACCTGCAAGGCTGCAGGTTTCTATTTGAGTTGGACACTACTGACTTACAGTACAGGTGATACCTGGAGGTCATTCCTCTGTGCTGCGGCTTCATCCCATTGCTTCTTTGGCTGCTTCTGTGGCACACATGTCCTCCCTGCCATCCCTCCCTTCCCGTCTAGTAGCTCTCAGATCATATATGTCACTGGTGGCTGGCTCCCATCACAACCTTCACTAGAAAAATTTCTCTGCTGCCCTGCTTTTTTCAAGGGCTGTGGCTCACACCTCCTGCAATTCTCCTTACCTCCCAGAAGATGGCAGTCATTCCCCTTCCTAGGAGACCAGCTCCTTGGCTCCAGAATCCCATGGTCATTTATTTGTATTATAGCTCAAAAAACTGTAAAAAACTGTTTCAGGTGTCATTTCTAAAGGCATTTCTCTTTTTAAATTTTCTTTTAATTTAATTGATTTTTTTCTTATATCACCTTCATTTCTGAATAAATCCCCACCTGGTAACTTATTCTAACAAAAATTTTAAATGGGCAGGGAGAAGAGAGAGCAGTTCAGCAAAGCTAATCAATTTATCAATTGAGTGTGAGGGTAGATGCCATGTTTCACACCCAAAGTCACTCAACTCTGCAAAGAAGGGAGGGAGGTACACTTTTCTCGTTCCAAGCTTGGTCATCATAATGACATAGTGTTCAGTTGGACTTGGGTTATTCTCATTTATGTTGTTGTGCTCATTATTTATATTGCTTTCCTGGTTCTGCTTACGTCACTCTGCATCCATTCATATACATCTTCCCATGCTTTTCTGAATTTCTGAAAGGTTTTGTTTCCCCATACCAAGATGTCCCACATCTCAAAATCAGGCCTCCCCCACCTTCAGTTCTGAATTCAGGGTTAATTTTCGGAG